CACAAAGTTTCATCGAACTCCATTTATAAATACTCAAGCTTTTTCGCACAAAAATTCATTCTTCTTTTCCATTATTCTACATGTTTGTTGAAACGTGTCTTACATCCTTATATATGTACTTCCTTCCAAAATGCACTGTGCTACAGATATACAAACTTCTTCAACCAGTATAAATCTGTTTACCGATATTGAGAATGGTTCCACCTGCACACATATGATGGATAAGCAGTATAAGTTAACAGGGGTGGAAATAACCCATTGCCCAACGCCCGAGTCCAGTGTTTTTTTTCTGTCAGGCAAGCAAATTTGTATATCACACTGTACCAGTGTCCAGTTGATATTCCAATGTTAATTATGTTGTTTATTTACAAAATCAACAAGAAAACGGCCGGTATAGTGGAACAATTATCAGGGCAAGTGATTTTACATGTGCCACTGTACCGGAGTACACTGGCAATTTTAAAGTTATTTCCACCCCTGAGTTAGCACAAGAAACAACACATTAAATCTACCCTTATTTTTTGAGAAAATCAACAGCATTTGTGTATGGTCTTCAACAGACTTGAAACTTTTAAAATTGTTCACGCATCAAAGAAATGAATCATGAACTGCAACTGATATATTGATTTGAAGGGTCATATTGTCATTGAAAAGATCATTTAATTCATTTCCAATGCCAAATTGATGTCTTTTAGATATGTTGTGTAAATCCTTATCCATACAACAGTGCCTACCCTATTCACCTACAACATTACATCCTGTACACTTATATGTTTTACTGCCAGCGCTGCACCAACCAAACAATCCAATCCTTCCTTTCCCAGGCTGTGGCTGCAGGATGAGTGTAAGTACACAACTCATCAGACTCTGACTTGGTATTGACAGCTGTGGTTAATGTATGCCCCAATTTGCTCTATAACCATCCACCACATATCTCCCAACAACCATCAGGTCAGCATGACTTTTCACTTTGAAACTCAGTCAACCGATGGTCCACTGCATCTTAACATACGGTTGCCTGTAGGGTCCTGTCACCAGTCTAAGACATTGTGACACAAGCCATTTGTCATTCTGTATTTTATTTAGGTAATCATTACCTGGTTATATGTGTCATCAAAACTTTGTTTCATGGACTGAATCCATATTAGTTGGTGAGTTAGTTTGAATGCCATCTTAAACTGCATTTCAGATTTGCTTCAATGCTAAAAATGTGAGCTTGATGGATAAAGTGAAACAGGTCTCATGTGAACCCCCCTATATAGCACAGGTATGACCATGACAAATCTTGAAACATATCCAGAGCAAACTGAGAACTGAACTCCTGATCAAAGGTTTCAGAAGATTTTAATCAGATTTTCTGGGATTGATGATTTGACTGAGCTTAGTCCCACTTCATATTTGCCTAAAAACGTATGTTTATAATCAACTAAGTGACATTGGTATTAACCCCACAACTGTATAACAGTCTTCAGTAAATATGGAACAGAGCTAGGGTTATTTTATTCAAATCCTTCTGAGTGCGATCTTTTCCTCCTTTCCCTCTATAATGAGCATAACCATTGGGAGTATTGCTCCAATTCATCATCCATGAACCATTTTATCATGCTTATGAATAACAAACAGATTACTTTTATTTCACATGATTTAACTACAGAGATGTGTGAACTTACAGAAAGAAACAGCAATATTATGGCTATTAACAAATTGGGGTACATGACGCCTGATCATTGCTCTACTGAGTTCTGCCTGAGTTTTTAAATATAGACACAGATGGCAATAGAGCAGAAAGCTTCTTGATAACAGGCATTTTCAAATTCACAGCCTAATTTTTTTAATCACATAAACAGGGCGACTATGGATTGCCTCATTACTGTTGCAATGGTATTGTAACAGTCGAAATCTCAACTGCAAGACCATTGTTTTACTGTCACACCTATGGCAATAACAGTATTATGATATGCAAGGTGAATCTCACCTGAGTAGCTTTGCAAAATGTAGTAAATGTCACTTTTAGAAAACTGATACAGAAATAAAACATGGTGGAATTGATGTTAGGAGAATTGTGTATCAAAATGTCAGTAGAAATGCAATGGTTCAATGCATTTGTGAAACGTGACACTCTATCAGGGGGTACCTTTACAAACTGTCACTAATGAAAGGATAGAGTGAACTGATAACAACTACTACTGTTACATTTACCTGTCACTCAGACAGGTATTATTGTTGATATAACTCATTAATTACCTGCTAATTAGAAGCATAAGGCTGACAGTTGCAGGTATGATGTTGTTCACAGAACATTTTGGTGAAGATTGTAAACTTCTTGATGGGCAATTTAGAAGTTGAGTTGATGAAGAATAATGACAATTATTATGGATATCCAACTTCTTTTATTCTGTGGAGGTGACATTTCGACATAGATTCTAATGTCGTTATCAAATGTCACTTGCTTGACAACGACATTAGAATCTATGTCGAGCCTGACCACTCGTTCCTGTCAGTCACGTCTTACAACAAGCATGGGTTACTGAAGATCCAAATGACCAGTAGGTATGATCAACATCACTATTACAATGAATAAAACCTGCTTGAATAACAGTGCCAGAAACAGTCACAATTCACTGTAACAAGTGTAATAGAAGAGTCCACTACACAATAGGTACATGCTGTCATTACTTTCATACTGAAATTAGTGCGATAAAGTCATTGTAATTATCATTCATGCCTACTGAGACAATTGTAGAATGAAAATGTTTCAACTACAGACATCTAAATAATTGCGGCATTACTGTCCTGCTAAAATATGAGTCCCCAACCAATTTTCAGAGTATTTCGTAAGTTATCTCATGTCCATACAAATGTCTATCCTTCACACAACAATCCACATTATCTACTGTGTGATTTAAATACAACTTCTTTTTTAAGAAGACAGCTGTGTAAAAATATTGATACATGTGAGTTTAGTTTTACGCCGCAGTCATCAATATTCCAGCTATATGGCGGTATTGATACTTGAAATGTTACACCAGTGACACATTTCTGATTTAAAACATACCATTGCCAAAAAAGGTATCAGAAATATGACATGTTGGAGAGTTATTTCTTATAAAACAACTTTCATAGATAAGTGGGAAATTGCAAGGTTTCACATTGGTTCATTTTCTGACACACCAAAATTGTCCTACAGGTATTTTTCAATGTCAGCTAAGATGCAGAACTGTGTCGTATCAAAGTTTGCAAAAATAATGAAACTGACCAACTGATATATTGCATTGTTAATTGTATCAACCGATGTGCATGGTAGCCAGGATAAAACATTTGATAATGTGAATGCTATTTACATGAAAAGTCCACAATACTTATAATAGAGTATATTCTTGTCATACACAGTAGGGCGGTGGGGTAGCCTAATGGTTAAAGCGTTGGCTCGTCACGCCGAAGACCCGGGTTCGAATCCCCACATGGGCACAATGTGTGAAGCCCATTTCTGGTGTCCCCCGCCGTGATGTTGCTGGAATATTGCTAAAAGCAGTGTAAAACCAACTCAGTCAGTCAGTCAGTCATACACAGTAAATAGAATTCAAGTCATCAATCATCTAGTGACCTAATTATCACCATTGTTTTAGTTTCAACAACATACACATTAAGTCTGTTAACTCTCGATCAATCTCTGACATGAAACTTAACTTGTGTTGGGCTTTAATTTGCCGAATTTTCTGAGCACTCAACATCTAATATGGTACAGGAGCTTTCGGAAATGGAATTGAATAAACCAGTAGAATATCCAAAGATGACAAGTTTGAGAATATCTGTCAATTGATATTTATTGATCAGACTCATTCAAACAAGACAACCTTCAACACTTTTAACACCCAAATCAACACTTTCCAAACAGCCTTACTAGGCCATAACAACTTAATTAATAGACTTACATTTCTGTGTTTCTCATTACCAAGCATCAGTTTCTTGTCCTTAAGTACCTACTGACAAAATTAAAATCACTACTTGTCTTCCCTTCCTTCTTTACTTGACTGTCTGGTCCAGACTCAATTATTTACAGACCGCCGTCATATAGCTGGAATATTGCTGAGTGTGGCATTAAACGAAAAACCAACCGAGCAACCAAAGCAATCTCTGCTTGACAGAAGACGCCTGTATGTAGACAGGGTTTCACCTTGCCCTACAAAACTATGGGTCCAGAGTATTACTAATTACAACGATTACGATTCCTGCAAAGTAATCGAGTAGTGTAGTGTACTTTGCTGTAAGATGTAACGATTATATTTATAACAGGAACTCTATACTGCTTGTCAAGGATTTAGATCAGTTAATATTACTCTGTGTCCCAAGGACCATCATTTATAATTTTCTGCATCAGTTCTTTATATTGGTGCATACTGGATGCACATTTCTGTGTCACACATAATCCAGTGTAGACCGAACAGCTACCGTATGCTTCATGCGAACCACATCTGTCAACAATTAACGTACACAAATGCTGTGAACAGTTTGTTTAGAAAGATTAAATTAAAAAAATCACAGCATTCTGGCCTACATGTTTATAAAACTTTAAATGAAAATCCCCGTTAATTAATTTTGTCCTGAAGGTAATGATGGAAAGAACAAAGTCTTACATTATTCACATATTTCTATGCTCCTCTTAAATAAAGATTTGTTTGGCTCCTAGTTTTTTCACAAAAAAGTGATTAATCCCATTTACAGAAACTCTTTCCTCCTAACCAACACATGATGACTTTTGTAATGATGAAAAAAAAATGGCATCCATGCCAAGTTGATCTCTTCCCCTATGTATAGCACTGCCAGCTGTACAGCAAAACAATGTGGAGACGTCACTGCTGTGATGAAAATATATGGGGGACGGAGGTAGGTTGAGAACTGTAGCATGTAATCAGTTTAGTCTCCGGAAAGAGTAGAAGCTAATCAAGTCTGTGAGTATCAGCAAAGATGGACGGAAGACGAGATCAATGGAAGAAACTCACGTTGATCTTGGGAGCCAGCCCTAGGCGGATGTCATTCACTTGGGAACATTCCAAGACTTGGCCCTCCTGCAAATATAACAAACAACATAAGAGTAAGAAGAACCAATTATGAAATGAGTCACGATCGATCGTCATAGTCAAACTGACTGATGTTTTACACCACACTTTTTTCAAAGTGAGTGACTGAGCTGGTTAAATGCAATTTTTAGGAACATTTTGGCAATATCCCAGCAGGGTACACCAGAAATTGGCTTCACCAATAGTAGCATGTGGAGTCACAATTTGACAGTTTAGGTGTCGTTTACATGGTAATATCTACAAAATTCATTTGCTTGATCAATATTGATTGATTGAGTGAGTTTACTTTTATGCTGCACTCAGCAATATTCCAGGTATATGGCGGTGGTCTGTAAATAATCGAATCTGGACCAGACAATCTAGTGATCAACAGCATGAGCATCGATCTATGCAATGGGGATACGATGACATGTGTGAACCAAGTCAGCGAGTCTGACCACCCGATCCCATTAGTCGCCTCTTACGACAAGCATGGGTTACTGAAGATCAATTCTAACCTGGATCTTCACGGGTCCACGTGATCAATAGACAATGGGAGCACAAATACAAACTAGTCATTATACTTTGAGTACTCACATTTGTTTTTCGGACTAGCAAGGGAGTGCCTTGTTGAAAGCCCTTAAATTCTCATATTTGATCAGATTTTGCTCACAAAAACTGTTCATCTTGCAAATTTGTATGCATGTAGATCTGCATGGACAGTTATGTACTTGAGTATACAGCAATTATAATATTAATTCTTTAAAGTTATATTATTGTGTATTTTTAACAGTTTGATTTGTGAAAACCTTGCATATAACACTTTGCTAGTTTCCAGCTTCGTTTATGAGAACATACACACAGTAACCTTTACATCTGCCTATAAAAATGTGCCTAGCAGAACAGAAAATACAATTCAAATGGTAAATCATCGTGTCTAGTGATAATGTATCTCAGATTTCACATTTTATGGACCAACTTTGTTATCATCTGTATGTTTTTCTGAAGTCTTTTCTTGTCGGTATGGCTATATACTTTTTATAACAGACAGCTTCTCATTCTACGATCATCCAATATGTGTCGCTTCAGCTTTGCGCAGCAAGAATAGCACTGAACACAAGTAAAATTTATCGAAAATGCTACTCGACTGGAGTGGGGTATAAGGCTTAGTCTCATAAACTACAACTGTAGGGATATCAACCGATACACCTCGGAAAGTGTAGAAATATTTACATACACCTCATTGTATATTGCCTTAACTTCAATCATATGCTGGACCTTTGGCTATTTCAGAAGGTGATTGAGTTTAGTTTTACACCACACTCAGCAATATCAGAGCAACTGCATTGTGACAACATTAAATGAGTGAGTTTAACGACTTGGCTACCCCACCGCCCAACAACATTAAGGTCAAATGGACTGTCAAGGACAATCTGTAAGTGGAAACCGATAACCACCAGATACCAAAACACCCAAGGGGCACAATACTGCAAAGCAAATTGTGGCAAATTAGACCACTAGGGTTTCCATTTTACACTCGATCTTTGAATTGCTCCACAGCGATTTGACAATCCATGATAAACATTTGCTGATGTCTTACTGTAACAAAGCAAGAGGGAAAATATTCCTCAATCTTTATGTCAAGTAAATAATGAATCTGAGCACTTTTAGCTGCACACTGACAAGGCTCTTCAAAACATAGCTGGCACTGTATGATTCATCAGATAGTGGTATTGATCAATCTAATCTATATGAAAGCATGCATCATGAAGTGCACTCGGGACTGTGCACTTACTTAATCAATACCATGCTCTCTTCAAAGGACAGCAAATTGAAATTATCTTATTTCCACAGGTTAGAAATATCAAATCTTATAACAATTTCTCTAACTTAATACACAGATTGCAGTGATATATACAAAGGGGGGTCATAAGGTTCTTTAGCTCACCTGATTATATTCTGGGTTCTGTTCTACAGTATTATATCAGCGCTACTAAGACATTGCTCCCATACTGGCTTACCTAACCTTATCATGTTCACGATAATCAGAATCATACAATCCATAATTGTTTGTGATTATGGAAAGGATTTTATTACTTGTATTTTCATCAGATCATTCATGGGACAGGGCCCTGAATAATTGCTGGATCAAAAGACTTAATCAGTTTGAAATTATTTTGAATAATCATTGCAAAGTAAATCACATTACAACATCTGAAAAAAATCTTTACAAATTTCCTCCTATGTCAAATTTTAAGCCTTCATTCATATGTTTAAGTTTAAAGTTTAATTTTGACTACAACACAAACATCAAAGCAGGTTTTCAGTGAATTTCATTGCTTTTTCAAGATAGTTTTTAACGTTCAAAGAAGTCAAATATAGAACTCCTCAAAGCTAGTTAATGGACAAGATGCTGACAACATCAAAGGCGATAGGACTTTGTCATCAGATTAAATACATGTTTGCATGGTCCCAGTTGGCTCAACAGACAGACAAACATTGATTCATTGATGTAACTGGAACCAAAATAGCTTTTTATACACAATATATGTGCCTGTTTGCTCACCCTGCCTTCACTCTTCCAGTAGATGAAGAAGCCATTGGTATCCACCTTGACTGTTGCATTGGGATCAAGGGTAGAACACTCCTGAAACACGAACAAACCAACTTGAGGACACAATAACTTAATAGATTTTCATAGAACTTTTAAAAAACATGAGATCAGAAACACTCTATTTTTTTTCTTGCCTTTCTATCATTACAGAAAACATTACCAACTTTAAAAAAATATACTTCACTGACTCTTTATGCGAAACCCAGGTTCGCAGATATGATGCTGACAAACACAGAAACATTATTAAGGCGAACAGGATTCTGGTGTGCCCAAGGGAGACAATTCTGCATAGCAAATTGTGGCATCTTGACTGGGGTTCCCATGCCTCTGTCACCCTCTGACACCCACCCACACAGACACATACACACTCCTTCCACTAAAAGACAAGCATGAGGTACATGCACTATGACTGTTATGGACATAACAATTTAATGGCCTTGAACTTCCTTGATCTTTTAACTAACCTGTGGGACTACTGAATTTCTCTTAACTTGCTTGGACCATTTTCAAATATTTTTTAAATGATACCATTTCTGTTCAACCATTCTAAACAATGAAATTCAAGTGAAGTTATATGTGGTATTAAGCATCATGATACCTCATCCCAGCAGTCGAATGTCTCTCCATTCTGCAGGGCCTCAGGTACAGGGATGCACCAGCTGAACTCAAACGGCTTGGCCATCAGTCTGACAGCACGGGCCCCAGCAGCTTCTCCCTAGCACCCTGTAAACAATACATATTATAAGTCACAGTTGTAATATATATTGCCCTAACTCAATGCATTGTTCGGAATTAAGATTAGTCAGAGCTTCCTAAAGGACCTCATTTGATATTAACTAACTTGAAACCAGTATTGTATTCATGCAAAGCAATCATGAAGAGACATAATAATGGTCATGATGATATCATCCATATAGACAGTGATGATGATGACTTGCATCATGTATCTTGTCTGCCTGCTTCCTCCTCAGGTTTAGAAACACATTACACAGAGCTTTGTCTGCTCATCCATGATTGCAATGAATGCTAAGAATCAGTAAAAACATACACAATGCCCTAACTCTAGTTAGGAGATTAATCCCTCAATAATGGTGGGAAATAAATATTTATCTAACAAGGTGTTTGTCGTAATAAGCTAGTTATCAACACTGATTGTTATGTCAATTATTCACAATGTCAAGATCATAGGTCAAAGGTATCAACAATGTTCGGCAATGTTGCTGTTACTGTAGGCTTAACAGAAATAGCCACACCTATTGAGGTGTGGTTGACCACTATTGTTATATCTGTATAGCTGTGAAGCGATACAAGGTTAGAGTAGTAAAGAGATGCTGAACCAAGTATGCCACACAATTAAACCATTTGTCATGCACTGCTTCATCCTAAACAGGTTTATTTTGGAAGCCATTTATACAGCCTGTGATATCAGCACTTTGGCTTGCACATTAAATATTTTCTATGAATTTTTCTCTCTTTGTAATTAACTTAGTGTATCTTGGAATATGACCATCACCACTTCGTTTTGTAATGTTTCTAAGGATGGATAGATAATATAAGTTGTTGACAGGTCCATCATCAGACATCATCACAATACATACTTCATACACATTCATTCTTCACTTGCCTGGTGGAATCCCCAGGTTAACAGTTTAATGTCACAGAAGACCTTGAGGATCCCCTTAATACTGAACACTGATACCTACTGGGGCTTCAAACGATCCACTATGTGATAAATATGACATATCACGAATGTTGGAAATATTGCAGAACGAATACAATAACAAGTCAGCAGTTGATGTATTAGTCATTATATCACTGAAACAATAACACATTAAATTCTATGGCATGTTTTGTTCATGTTGACAGTGTTAATTCATTTTTACAATGACCAGTGATCACATTGCCATCAAAATGAAGAGTACTGACTATTATTCTTCCTGGCTTGGATATATCAAGCTTTGTGTATCTCACTTTGATAAATATCAAAGTCTGATGCTAAATTTTAGAGAAAACCCCAGGAGGACAGACATGACCTTCGAAGACATCATAAACTGATAGAACTGCCTTCAGTGACAAGATTGTTGACCAGCGTATTGTGTATATCGTTTATCATGTGTACATTGTGATAATTATTTGATGATTATTTATTATCCCTTGAACAATACCCAGTCAATTATGTGAGCAATTAGAGCAGCTTGATACATTAATCATGGTGATTGCTAACTGCTCGTGTACACGATCAGGCCAAAATAATCAAGGATGACCGGACTCCAGGTCTTGCTGTCTGTGTGGATAGGTGTAGGTTGCATGTGGATAGGTGTAGGTTGCATGTGGATAGGTGTAGGTTGCATGTGGGTTAGGTGTAGGTTGGGTGTAGGTTGGGTGTAGGTTAGGTGTAGGTTGGGTGTAGGTTAGGTGTAGGCTGGGTGTTGGGTGTAGGTTAGGTGTAGTTTGGGTATAGGTTGGGTAGAGGCTGCAGTAATCTTCGTAAATGTTTTCCTGTGATGTCATCTGACTTGATACAAAATGGATCCAAAACAACTGACATTTTGAAAAACATTTCAGGCCTCCTGCTCTTCAAGTGCTTTGACAAGTTTCTTTCATGAATTTGCCAAATCTAAAAATCAGTATTGTCCGCAAGTGACATGTTCGTTAAATAATAAACAGTTGTCACCAATGAAGTTCTTTCAGCCACACCTCATGAAAGTCAGGCATTTCTCAGTCTTTTTCAGCACAAACTTCAGAACTACAATAACCTACCTTATCACAAACACACTTATACCAAACTGACAGATATAACAGATACAACTGTTTCCTTTTGGACCATGCATATGTTATATTTATAGTTGAAAAGTATGAGACAAACTTTGGTTGTAAATTGGTTAAAATTAGAGGTCCCTTGGAGTTTGTTATAACCATATTTGACTGTACCAGAAATTATTCAATATTGTCACAAGACCATGAAACTAATGCTCCATGTCAACAAATTTACAAATGATGCTGAGTTTGTTTCTGCAGAAGATATTTACACATCTCTGAGGTATCAGCTATGTTGAATGGGATGCATTTAATAATGCCTTCAATGAGTTTGACGTTGTCTCCCAAATACCAAGCCATTAACATGACCACATTACAGAAAAAATAACAGGTAAACTAATCCTGACGAGGTTCGCAAAATGATCATTTTGTTACAGTATCTGATTACCAAACGCGACCATCTCTTTCCGGACTAATGTTTGCAATCGGTTTGACTGATTTCATATCAAACATCATTGAATATATTTGCAATAATTTCAGAAAAAGAATGCGCTGACTGATCAGCATACAGCATCAACTCATTATTTACGACGACCATGATTAAACTAATGCCATAAATGTCTTGAAATGAACAAAGTGTTTAATCAGGCACTAGATACATACATCATAAATGCCATATTTTGACCTATTGAAAGTAACATTTTTTGGTATGACATGTCTGCAACATGTATTCACAATGCAAGCAACCTGAACAGTATCTGTTTTCTACGAAGATTATACTATCCTGAAGTAGCAATCAGCTACACTGAAGCGCTATGTGTGTGCCTATTGTTATGTGTAACCAATAACCTAAAAGCTGCAACTAATATAAAACGATCCTGGAACATATTATTCCTTGTAAATAAATATATTTGCGCACGGCTGATTGCAATATCCAATATATATACATGTAACTACAAATATACATAAATGTAGACCCCTTTTATCCCTCATATTATCCGAAAATGCTTTGACATGTTTTGCGATGTTTCCGCTCCAATTATTTTCATTGGTTGGAGGTGTTAGTCAAAACGGGGGAAAACACAACCAGTGAGCATGTCACAGTCAAACAGCAATTTAATACTCCAGCTACCATGATATATATGGTAACAATGTAACACCTTTCCTGGACATGTAACTATTAGAAAATGGAAATGCCACATTATGCCTTGGATTTGAAAAGAATTTAAGACTATAACTGCTACGATTCACTCACATATTTGCTGAATCAAACCATATCCTTTCATGAATTCAATTTGTTGTTCAAGGTCACTAGAATCTTATATTCATGCATTTTTTAAAGGAATGTTCTCACTTGATTGGTGTTATTTATCAAATTGAAATATACAAAATAAAATATATCCAAGCCACTACCAGGCAGGACAGTAGTAAACACTGTTATATATTTAATTTGACATTAATGTGGTCACTGGTCATTGCTGTGATAAGTTAACACTGTATAATTGATCAAAACATATAAAAGAATGTATTTCGGTATTGTTTCACTGAATACAAAGAATAACACATCAACTGCTGGTTTTTTATTGTATTCATTGCCAAATATCCGTATTCGTATCATATATTTGCAGGGTTTTACATGACGCGTGATTCCTGCGTATTTGACGCAACAATTTTGTAAACGACTCTCAAAATATTATCATACAAGTCAAGCTTGACGCAAGTTTTATGGGTTGCCATCACAATTCAGTTCAATAAAATCGATTTGATAAGCAAAAAAGATATTGTTCGATGATAGTTTGACTTTCACAGAGCTGTCAGATTGTTCCAGAGTACTCAGAGGAGACAGTAATCCTGGCTGTTTGAATTGAACAATGCTGTAGTTTCATTTGGTGGTGTGACATACAGTTACATACTGGGAATGATTAACAAAGATTTCATGACTCCCAAATATTGAAAATGACTCCCAAAAATAAATATTGTGAGTCACCATGACTCCCATTTTTAAAAGTGTGTAAAACCCTGTATTTGTCTCATAGTGGATTCATTACTGCCCTTTTTAAGACTGAGCATATTTTGTGATATTGCAGCATTTACATGCAGGACACATGGAAAACCTTGTTCTTTTCTCTAGTAGGTCCTATTAATAACTTTCGGCAGGTATAAAAGTTAATTCTACAGTAAAGATGATAATAATTAGGGATCTTTTGGATCCTCCCAATAATGTCATTATATATACCGACAACTCATGCTTACATTGTCGTGACTTGGCACACTAATAATATCTCTTCAAAGTCGGTTATTGATTAACTGACACTCACTGACATCATGTCCAGTTGGAGAGATTGAACTACATTGAGATGTGGTTATATCATGACATGCAACAGGAAGAACAAATCTAAAATGCTCCCAAAATTAAGGCATCAGAAAGAAGTTACTTTGTATTCAAAAGCCTACCTAAATGAATCTGAAATTTTAAAAAACCACTAATGAAATTTATTTGAAGGTAAAGACATGCAAAGCCATGCTTTGAAGTTGTGATAGATTCAAAATTGATCAATGCATTTTCTAATAGCATAAATGAATTTCAACTTAAGCAAGATGTCCCTTTGAAATACTTGTTCAAATCTAAAGAGTGAGTGAGTGAGTTTGGTTACTTTTACACCGCTTGTAGCAATATTCCAGCAATATCACAGCGGAGGACACCAGAAATGGGCTTCACACATTGTACCCATGTGGGCAAATCGAACCAGGGCCTTTGGCGTGACGAGCAAACGCTTTAACCACTAGGCTACCCCACAGCCCCTCATTTTAAGGCCTCAAATCAAAAGAACCAAGAGCTCTGTAAATCAATGGCAAGTACTATCAAGCACTTACATAACTGTCCAATCATTATGTGGTCAACTATTGACAACCTCCAAAACCATTATCCACATTACACCTTTATAATAAGGATCCATAATATTATC